CCAACCATATCTAATATTGTTTCAGTGCTGTCTAGTTTCATCTCTGGAGCTCTTTATCATCAAATCTTTCATTCTCTGTTTCTATCTCCATCTTTATTAAGAATACATCTTTCATTCTGCCTCTGTATTTTTCACTCGCTACATAGTCACACGTATCCTCCTGTGTACCAAACCTTTTTCTATCACACATTCTCTCTCTCTGTCTATCTTTTATGTTTAATAAAACAGGTTCAACTCATTTGTTTTGTCATTTTCTCAAACCTGCTGCCACCAGCCCTTACACCTAGTTCTCCTGTTATTAATAAAACATATATAACCCACCTCTACCTCATGCCCTCTCTTCTCCCTACCTCACTTCCATCATTAATGAAAAGTATACCTGCATCATCATCAGCATCATCATCATCCTCTGCCTGCTGCGTATCGATCCAACCTGCCACCCTGCATTGCAAATAAAAGATGTATTATCTTATAACCTTCATTCAGTTTCCTCTATCCATCACTCTTGCTTGATTAATTAGGCATAGACTTGTCAGTATTTCCTCTTGCAAAGATGAAAAACAACCTGGCCTTATGATATTTATCCTTCATCTTAAGTAATATTGGGTCCTGTGACGTCTCTCCAGAAACAATTACAAAGCCTTTGCTTCCCTTTTGCTCTTGCAAATCACCTGGTACTACTTGTAATAAACAAATAAGTTGAGGAAAAACAAAACCCGACAAAGCCACAAGTTTCCTATACTTACATTACTTATTGAATAATGGGGGGGCAAAAAGAAATTTATCTTGTCAACAATAGTATTTATAGCGTTTTCCTATTGATGTGTCTTTACTATTTGTATTCAAAAATCACATGAATCTCTATATTTTCCTTCTGAATTTTTCCCACTTTGGACAATCTTTTACAAAAGCTATAATCGGTGACTGTCTCAATAGAAACTAAGAAGTCAAACACAATGGATTATAGATTAATTTACAAATTCAGCTGTTTTGGCTTATATTGTAAAAGTGTTTGTCTACAAGATTATGTATTTAAGCTTAAGGCCTACAGTCATATTGAAAGCATCGGCTCTCATTTGATCAACAAAGTTAAACATCACTGAGCCTGGTCAATACTTGGACTGGAGACCGCTTGGGAATACCCAAGCAGCTTCCTACAATCCAAAATATGGGTTAGCTTTTAAATAAAACAAAGGGTTGATAATCCATCAAAAAACAAATCCATCAATAATTTAAACTTAAGAGTCAGGAGGAGATATTGTTTTGCATAGTTTATACTTTATATTTTATTTTGCTGAATGGCTGTGTTGTAGTTATCATAAAAAGCCTTTATTTAAAACCTTATTTTTAGTTGGTTTTTTTTTTTTTTTTTTTTTTTTGGGGGGGGGGGGTTATTGAATGTTTCCAAATGAGGAGTGCTTATCTATTTTAAAAATCAATATTTGGAAGTCTTAGTTTTATATAATGAATATTGAGAAAAATATTAAATTAAATTTAAAGAAGAAGTCGAAATGAAAGGAAAAACTTAGAAACAATTGAAATTTTTGGATATATAATGAGGCAAGAAGACCTGGAAAATGATGTTGGCCTGAGTTTTATGTCTTTAGCTTGGCATTTAGATATTCAGCAAGTTATTTTGTAACCACTCTTTGGCATACTCTTATTTTTATTTTCAGTTCGTACTAATGCTGTTACTTATTTAAATGACTATATTGTTTATTTAGATTCAGACTATTGTCCTTACTTTTGTTGTTGCTATCCCATTTTGGTCGTTCTATCTTCCAGTCTTCATCAGGTGTATATCGATCTGGGTAATCTGCAGGAAATTCTGTACTCATCCTTTTATTTAATCTAAAAAAAATGTTCTTGTTCCACTGCCCATGTCTAAGGATATTTTGCCTAGTTTCTATTTTTAGGACTGTTCAGTTATTGCTCGCCTGTTTTCACTAAGTTTGAGTACACACTGCTCGGACCAAGGATTGCATTCTGCATTCACATAATCTCATTTAGTTTTGTCATTATTACTGCTATAACACTGTAGGTCAGCCTCCTTTTCTTTGTTTCTAATGAAATTCTCCTTTTTCTTAATATTTTGTTTTGTTTTTGGAAGGTATTCTTTGTTATCCAAGTACACCTTCAGGTATTGGTGTCATATATTCTGTCATCTGTTAAAACATTTCTCAGGTATTTAACAGACAATGGCAAAGGTGACTCTGAAAGTTAGCTTCAATTTAAAAAGTAATAAAACTTTGTTGTTTGCTGTACAAACAAAATAATAATAACCTTAGCTAAATCTAGTTTCTCAAACAGGAGCCACTGGCACCACAAGAAATGGAAAGTTATCACACCCACTTCAAAGCAAGTTTCTAATCTGTGTATTCAAGGTGTTCCACTTTGTAATGGTTTTTTTTTTTTATTTCTTTTTAATGTTTATTTTGGTTTTATCTTTCTGTTCCCCACAATTCAAACTTTTTCTCTCTACTTGTAAAGCATGTTTGAACATTTTCTTACAGAAGAAAATGTTGTTACTTAACTATTGACATGTCTATAAATAGACATGAATGCAAATTCTTCTCTTCGATCTTCCTTAATTTTTATAGATTCATACATAATTAAAAACAAAGTGAATATGTCTATATTTATGAATGTGTTTGTAGAATTTGAGTTGTATATAGATATTTACTAAGCATAGTCTGGCCCAGAGCCAAATTTGAGGTAGGAAGATTGTCTAACACCAAGTTTACAAATGAAGAGTGCTTATCTATTTTGAAAATCAGTATTTGGAAGTCTTGGTTTTATTGGAAAAAAAATGAGGACAGAATATGTAGGTAACAATAACATTTTAAGAAAAAGTGGAACTGGAAGGAAACTTTAGAGATGGTTGAAATTTCTTGGATATTTCAGGAGGAAAGAAGATCTGGAAAAAATTAACACTTATGGGAAACAGCAAGTAGCCTACTTAATTAGTACTGGGATAAAGAAAGATAATTTAGAGTCAAAAGTTAGATTAACAAGAGAAATGAAGTTGTGGAGAGCTATGATTGTCCATCTCCTGACTGGATATAAGTGCAAGGTAGATGTGGGAATAAATGGTCTAATATAAAAAGAAAAATGTGGCTGATAAGGTGAACAAAGAAAAATTGAATGTATTTATCAATCAAAGAATTTTTCTGTCTTTATGAAAAAAGAAATGTGACTTTATACTCACTTTTCTTTTTGCATCCACCCCAGGTGGTTTTAATCCTTTAGTACCAACTAGTTTCAACTGTCACTCTTCTGATAAGCCATACCCTACCTGTTTCTTTTCCACAGTCCTTCTCTTGACCTGCCCCAACAATCCTAAGGAAAAAAAGAATTTGATCCTTGATCAGATTTGTGTTCCCTTCCCCACTCAGCCACAATGCCATCTGTTCTCCTGTTTTGGGGAATTTGTTTAACAAATAGTGTTCAGTTATTGTTTGAATTCCCAGTTGTTGGGTCAGCAATTGGGGTACATGTGAATATTTAAGTGGAATCTTTACTCAGTCTACACACACAGGCTGTCAAAGGTTTTTCACCTACTCAGTTTCATCAATATTTAATGAAAACAGAGAGTGAATGTCAAGGGTCAATTAGGTAGGTAATTGAGTACAAAACTCAATAACCTGAATCTGGAATTAAACTGTCTGTGCCCATGACCAAATCCATGAAGAAATGCATGAATGACAAGGAAATGAGCTGACAAGTATGAACACAACATTTACAAACATTCAGGAATGCACAAAAGTTTTTTTGTTTTTTTTTCTTGCTAGGATCAGTTTTAAAATACTTTAATACATTTTTAAAAGATGGTGACAGGAAGTGACCATGCGATAAGGCACATAGATATAGTAGTTATTTCTTTTTGCTATTAATTTCACTCAGCTTACACCCCTATCATTTATATCTACATTCCAAAATACTTACCATTTTTATTTTCTCCATAAAAGATATGCACACAAGACCATACATACAACTGCAAAATATAGCTCCCTTTTTTATCCACTTGGAGACGCAGATAATATTTTAAATGATAATGCCTTTGGTAACCTACAAAAAAATTTTAAAAAGTTCCATGTATGAAATACTATATTTTTATATGGAAAACAGTTTTTAGTTTATTCATGCATCATTTAATTGGTGAAAATTTAGTTTGTAGTCCATTGCACACTAAATTATTTTTTTTGTCATATCCTTTCATGATGTAGGTAATCATGACTCTCCACAGCTTCCTTTTCTTTTTTTGTTAATGCCATGCCCCTTCAGAATGTAGACAATCATGGCTCTCCACTGATTTTTCTTTGTCTTGAATTGCCATGCAGTTTGGGGAAAGATGAATGGTTTACCATTGCCTTCTGCATGTTCTGGAATTCAAAGACTCTTAGACTGGTTGCTGCCCAAGACTTAAGAGCCTAATCTACTCTGCTATTTAACCCATAGTCGGAGGGAGGAGAAGAGATGAATTCTTGATTCTTTCCCAGGGACATTAGTGTGAAAGTGAATGCAAAAGACACCCAGTATTTGACCTCACTTTCTCAATTCCACTCTTTTTTTCTTTACTTTTTTTTTTTTGTCATTTCAATTCAAGCAAGGCGATAATGCCATTAAGACAAATAGGGCAACTAAGAGTGAAAGAAAATGAGCAAACTTTAGAAAGAACCAGAAACCCAATCCTAAACAAAAAACAAGGGATAAACCTCTACTCCTGTTCAAAAGATCAGGAAGGAGTGTGAACTAAACAATAGGCAACCATATCTACTCTGGCTTTGATAACGATTATGCTACCCACAAATTGGAAGAAAAAAAAATAGTAGATTCTTTTTTTTTTCCTTTTGTTAAAATCTTGATATTTTAATTTTGTGCCTTATTTGTTTTGCAGGCCTGTATCAGCATATGCCTTGTTTTTCCGAGACACGCAGGCCGCTATCAAGGGCCAGAATCCCAATGCGAGTTTTGGTGAAGTCTCCAAAATTGTTGCATCTATGTGGGATGGTCTTGATCCAGAGCACAAAAGTGTAAGTATTGAATGTCTTTGCTCTATAAACAGATTACTTACAAGTCTCTCTTTCTCTCTCTGTGTATCAAAGTATCAACTCACTATTTAATTTAAATACATTGTTAATGATTTTACTATAGAAATGCATTGAAACACTGCACATCCTAATTGGATTATTTATATATAAATCAGCACATGTACTTCAGATCGGAGTATCTGTATACTTTGTCAAAAATTGAAATGTCACTCACCAGCACATCTGCATCAGTGTACTATAACTCATTTCTCATACCTTTTTAATCACTTAAATGCATATTTAAACCTAAATCATATTTACCACTTAATTACAGTAATAAGATGAAAACTTCTGCTACCAGAATGATTTGAATATAAGTGTAGTGTAATTGGCCATGGTTAAGTGGAATTGACAATGTTCTAAATAAACAATAAGAAAAGAAAAAAAAAACAGGGTAAAATAATCCTAAGCAAACAATATAAATGCAAGTCAAAATTATGCAAAGCAGCAGTGTTAAGGCAAAAAGTTAGAATTGTGTTCACATGCAAAAGGTATACAGTCAAGTGATTATAGCATTCTGACTTAAAAATGAGAAAGAACAAGAATAAGGTGGGTGAGACTGAGAATTGTTCATTTTTATTGGTTAGAAAGAAATCCGAGCATGCATCTGTAGGATTTTTCTATAAATTTGGGGAAGGGGTGATGTTTGTACCACTATTCCCAATAGATTGGAACCAATAGTAAAAACAAAAGTTCAGCTTGCAAGAAAAAAAATTCTACTTTTAATCTGATAAACATGGATCTAATATTTATGATTACCAATTATTATGAATTATCTGCTTTTTGTTAAGATATAAACAACACAATTGTAAACATCTTGAAGATTGTCCAGTGTTTTACATTTCTGCTCTTTGTTTCACAACAAATTCAACGATGTACATATACAAAAGGAAATTATGATGGAAGATATCAAAATTAGTGTAAAAACATAAACAAACATGACCCTGAAGAAAGATTGAAGGATAGGTTTATAAAATTAGTTTTAGCCTTCTGAACATGGAATTGAACTACTGACAGTATATCCAGTGCAGTGATGACTTGGAACTGCTAGACAGAGGACTTCCTAGACTGAAGTCAATGGCCAGGGTAGAGAGTCTCCCAATGCAATCAACAGCCATGTGTCTGTTACAAAGTTAAGTTGGAGGAATGGGCTCCACCAGGTCTATTTGTCCCAAGATGCTACACACGAATGAATTCCTCTCCAGCTTTCAACATGTGGAAGGAATTGGTCAGGGGCTCAACTGTGCAATGACCATATGACCCGATCTGGTTGTAGATCTGATGATGATTATTATTAATTCTTAGTAGCTCAATGATTGGAGTAGCTGGTATAATTAACTGGGCTTGCCTCAAATCAAAGAGGGCATGAGCAAGTCTTAGTGAGACCTTATCCTTTGTGATTTCTGATCACACTGTTGGCTTTTGTAAACTGTCAGCCCAAATAAAGTTACGATAAAAAGAAATTTAAAAATAAAAATTTATAGAAACTTAGTCAGAATTAAAACTTTGATAATGGTTGACAATGTGTTATCTCTCTCTCTCTATATATATATATATATATATATTTATTGTGTGTATATTAGATGAATGCCTAAAGATTTTTTTTCGTTTTTTTTTTTTTTTTTTTTTTTAAGTCTATATTCTGGAAAATATTACAAAAACTTCTCAACATTTTATGTTCTTCCATTTCAGGTATACAAAAAGAAAACTGAAACTGCCAAAAAGGAATACCTTAAGCAGCTTGCTGCTTACAAAGCCAGTCTGGTGTCACAGGTAAGAGACAACTTATCTTTTAACTTTCCCCAGGTATTCACTATGATTAATGCAAATATAATTTCTCTTGATGCCACACAGGTAAGAGACAGGCTCTTTATTGACACCAATTTCCAACTGCCTGATGTTAGAGAAAGAAACTTACACTATCTCAGGGAATAGAAAGACATTCCCTCCCTCCATTGCAAAAACCCAATTCAAGGAAAAATACTGTATTGCCAATCAGATAACACAGAATTTGGCAAGGATTATTTACAAAGAAAATAATCTTCCCTCATGTTTGTATATTGCTCTTTCTTTTTTATATATTGTTTTGGTTTGTGATCCTAATTTAATGCTTTATAATTCCATTTAATACATTGACTGCCAACCACAAGATAACTCATGTTGGCAGTTTTTATTATGACACAGGCCATGAATTATCTCGTTTTTGTGGTTTTGCACAAATAACTGGTACCTGGTGTCTGAGGCAGAAATAAATAAAAAGCCGTACTGGCAGCTAAGAACAAACATTTTCTAGGGAAAATCTGTTGAAAATATAACACATAAACAAAGCAGTTGTAAGGCAACAGAAGTCTGCAATATCCAAACTAGGTGCTTGAATCGTGATTTTTGAAACGATGCAAAGAGGTGCTTTGTCGTCTTCACAAACAGCTCAAAAGTTTCTCACCATACCTTTTTTTGGCACCAAATCTGCAGAGTCTGGTTGGACATTGTTTCATCTCAGTTGGTGGTATGGCTTCTAAATAATCATTTGTCCACCATTCATTCTTAGATGTTTTGTGTTATTTGCTAGTTGATCACCAAGCAAACATTTCACAAATTGTTTGCATCTTTGTAATAACAATAGTCTTGGGATATTTGTATTCTTATATGAAGTATTTTCTTTGTTAATTTTTGACCAACTTTTCTTTCATCTTATTTTTGTTGTATTTTATCACATTCTTGGTCAAGTAAACACTTCTTTCCACTAATTTTGTATTCATAGGATTGAAACAGTTTGAGAGTATCTGACCAGGAATGTTTTGTTAAGTAGTAAGAGGAAGATGATAAAAAAAAGAATGACTAAAATTAAAAACAGAAATACTTTATATAAGAATTCAGATAACATGTTAAGTTCGAAAGGACATCAGTTGATGTCCTTTACTATCTTACCTGTTAAGTGCCAAATTGCATTTTTTATATAACATTACCCTTTTTGAAATTCACCTTGCCTTCATTTTGTTCTCTATACACTGCTGTGACTAATACATACACACTTTCCAGCAATTTTATTTAGTCTCTTAGGACTCTCCATTCTTGTGTCCTTGAGGTGCCAGTAAGCAATACCTTACCCTTACTGTTCTATTCTTGCAAGACAAATACATAAAAAAAAGAAAACAATGGCATTTTATGATCAAGACACTATCTCTTGAAATCAACAAATTTTATAATTTATTATTAAGATGGACAGAGGGAAGGAATGTTGATCTGTAAGTGTCACTTTGTTTGACACAAGGTTACAATAATGGAGCACCTTTGAGAATTGAACTCTTGAAACAAGACGTGCTATTTCACAATTAGATAAAAATACCTGTCATGTAATGATTTAAGTTAATCACTCTCCATTGACTATTCTTGTTAGTCTTAATATTATAGCTGATAGACGATATCTATCTTACCATCATTGGAAAAACCTAGTCAGATATTTTACTTTGTGTTGGTGGTGGGTGATTTCTTTGGTATTTAGTGGAATGTTTTCGGAAAATATTTATTAAATATTCTTTGATCACAGTATTTGATTCTAGTTTAATTTTCCCATACTCTCTTTTCCTTAAAGCCAAACAACCCCAATTACTGCAAGTACTTTGCACGAGGAATCATTTCCTTCTCATCTATGTGTGATCGATTGGTCACTTGATTAGTTGAGCAGTTGGCTGATCAATCCATTGGTGTACCTTTTTGCTTTCTGAATGTAATTACTTTTTCTTCACTCACACTGAGCTTCCTGGTGCTTGGACTGATTCTTTGTTGTTCTTCATCCCTTGGGATTGTTCTTTGCAATGCTTGCATTCCACTTGATTGTTATTGATTTCCTTTCTCGCCCCCAAAAGATTGGACATTGATTTCCACCTCATCCTGACCTCCATCCTATATCTGCTGCAACTTTTGATATGGCAATACATTTCTCTTCTTGGCATTGTAGTTCCTTGAGAAGATCAGAGAGGGAGGTTTTTCACTTATGTCAACATATATATATATATATATATATATATATATATATATATAATATTACTGTTGCATTTATCAGAATTACTCATCATCATTATATCAATATTGATAATAGTAACAATAAAATTTATTAAGCTTAGTATGGCACAAGGTCACAAGTGTAGTGCACCCAATAAGGATCACATTCACTACAGTTGTATCAATCTGAAAGATATTTGTTTTTCTAACACTGTTATGTCCATCCTGTATAGGTGATCATGGCTTGTCACAAGTTTCTTTTCCTTGTTATCCATAAATTGCCATTACTTCTTGGGAAAGATAATGGATTGATTTGTGGTCATTATCTTTCTCCTAGACTGATATCCAGCAAAGGTTTGAGAGCCCATAGCTAGATATATCCCCCTCATGATTACAACATGTATCACCCTGTTATTACTGTGACCATTATTTCTGTAATGTTATTTTGTTAATCCATGAATTGTCATGACTTCTTGGGAAAGATAGTAGTTTGTCATTGACTTCTCTATAGTTTGAACTCATAGTCCTTCTCCTAGACTGGTTGCCAACCATGATTTAAGAATCCATAGCTAGATATATCCACTTGTAATTAGTATAATATCAGCTTATTTTTACTATTATCATTATTTCTCTATATTTCTTTTAATGAAATAAGACCTTTTATGTACAACTTGTTAAATTATAAGGCTAAAACATGAAGTCTTTTTATGCTAATCTTCATACAATACAAGGCCCAAGAGTTACTCAAGATAGATGGTTACTAAATATGGTTGTTATAATGACATGGTCAGCTGCTAAGAAAGTTGGTTCACTGTGTTGTGCAAAATGATTTTTCTCTCCAGAATCTATCTTAACATATCTATAAGTCTACCATTCGCTGATACTTAGAATATTGCTGCCAGTTATGGCCCGGTGCCCCTGCTATTTACCTTGAGCTCCTTGATAAAATCCAAAAAAGAATCAGTAATATTATTGGTCCTGATCTGGTGGCTCAGCTTCACTCACTTTTTCATTGCCATAAGGTTGCCTCTCTGTCCCCTTTTCTATAAATATTTTCATGAAAATTATTCGGATGAGCTCTTCGCTATGGTACATAGACTTTATGAATTTAAGCACAGTACTAGACTGGCATTGAGATCTCATCATTTTACAGTTGAGTTGGCTAAATGTGGGCATAAATTCTATGCTAAAAGTTTCTTTTCTAACAATTCTCATTAGTGGAACTCGCTTCTGGCTCCATGCTGTTCAGCCAACTTTAATCTGCAAAAATTTAAATACAATGGCAATTTCTATCTACTGTCCTCTTGATTACTCTTTTCTCTTCCCACTCATCATTAATGTTTCTGTTTCTAATTCTTCTACAACCCCTTGTGTCTTAGTGGCTTTACTGCCTTGCATGGTGTGTACAGATTTTTTTTTTTAAATTTAAAAATACAAGGAAAAGTAACAGATGCATATTAAGAGGAGATATATATAGGATAGTTGGCCATAAACTTGAAGAGGTTAAGATTGTAATGATCAGGGAAGCACGCTTTGTGGGATCTGTTCTGCAACAAAACTGTTCTGGCGAAGAAACTGAGTGGAATTTCCTTCTTATTAATGAAATATGAAGGGAAATGAGGATGAGTTGATTCTGTGTGTGTGGCATGGTAAGGTCCTAGCTGTGAAGATCTTCATTAGTATAACTGATAAATGTAGGTCTTTCATGAAAAGAGTAGCAATTTTTTGTCTGGGAAAGGGGTTGCAGAAAGAAAAACAATTCATCACCCACAAGGTCACATAGATGCTTTTGAACTCTGACGGGACTGGAAAGTGATGATTCGCCAGCTCCAGCCCAGATGTTTAAACACTTTAATCTCGTGTTATGTTCGTCAGTACACAAATATTTTTTAACTTTAATCAGTTGCTAGAAACGATATATCTGCACAAACGCTGACTGATTTGTATTTATTGAGTAATAATTTAATTTTCCTTGATTTTATTTCTTTTCTCAGTTTTTCATTTTTCATTGCAGACACCTGCAGATGACAATAATATCGGCTCTGACAAGTCTCACTCCCGGTTAATAAATGCCAAGGAGGCATTGAATGTAAACACTACTGCTGCCGCTGCCAACGCTGCTGCTGCTGCCGCTGCCGCCGCCGCCACCGCTGCCCCAATGAACAAGGTGAATTCAATGAACACCTTCAACCAAATGACTCCAATGCACCCAGAATCCCCACCTTTACAGCAAATCCCATACTCGTCTCCTCAGCAGATCCCACCCCAAAACGTGGTGTCAAGGGTCACAGTTGCATCCCCTGTACACAACAGCTTACAGCAGACCATTGTCAATCAGGTAAGTCAGTCTTTTGTACCTCCATCTTGCCGGACATTGGCTATTTTATCCTCGGCATTGCAAAGTGGTGGGGGGTGCTGAGATGTTTCTGAGGAACATGCTTCTCAAAAATCAATATTTTAATGGCCAGTCATCAGAATACTAATTTTTTTTTTTGCAAGGGGGAGGGGACTTTTCAACATCCCCTCATAATAATGTTCTTGTTAGCATACAACAACACTGATATGCTGCTCCATCTTTAGTTTTCTGTATCTTGTAAGCAGTTTATTATTATTACCATGAAAATAGCAATAGACAATGGAGAGGCTAGCAACGATTTGTCTGTGGAGAAAGGAGTTGTGGGAAGGAAAATAGTTCATGACTCACAAAGTTACATAGATGCTTTTGAACTTTGTCAAGACTGGAAAGTGACCATTGGGCAGTCCCAGCCCAGATATTTAAACACAATATTCTCTTATGTTAGTACGCAAATACGTTTTAACTTGAATCAGATGTTAGCAATGCTATATCTGCAATAGAGGGATTATTATTCATGACTAAATTTTTTTGCTAGTAGATAGCAGTAGGAGCATTTAGCTTTAACTAATTCACAAAGGTCACTTTTGCTTGTACTTTGACAAACATCATCAACATGTAACTTTATAAAAAATCAAAATTCACATATTTTTTTCATTTTTTAATTCTAATATTAATAATAAAAGAAAATAAGTAAAATTTTTAGCATATTATGCTTTTTTATTTTAAGAACGGTAAAAATGCAAGTAAAAAAAATTACGCTGTTATGGAAAAACTACTATGATGGTTTTTCATGGTTCAATGGTAAAGCACACTTGGCTTGAAAGTTGTTCACTAAAAAGGTAATACAGGTTTGATTTCTGTTGAGAGGCACAATTTCTTTGACAAGACTTTTAATCTCCAGGTCAATAGATATTAATTGATTAAAAGAAAGGATTGTTACTTAAACATGTATGACTGTGAAACATGTCAAAAGCAGTTTACAAAACTTCTTGCTCAAAATTTCTCATTGAACAATTGGACAGACCAGCTGTGGTTGGTAATGATTGGATTACAACAGCAATTGGGAATTGGAATTGTTGTAAATGAATAGCAAACATACTGAAAATATCCAAAACAAACCTTGAAAATCATCTGCATCAGCTTGGTTATGTTAGTCACTTTGATGTGTGGTTTCCACAAAACTACTAATGTAAATGTTTCCTTTTTAAATAAACTTACAAGCAATGGAAAGTGGTTATTTGCAACAATATCAAATGTGAGTGATCACTGTAACCATACCAAAGACAAGTCTTCGTCCAAAAAAATGATGTTTGGATTAGAAGAGAATCCTCTGCTTTCAGGAAAAACAAACAATTGCTTCAAGCAAGTTCTACTTTCCAGTTAAAGCAATTGAATGCAGACATTTAGAAAAAAAAGCCACGTTTGGAATTCATTATGAGGCGGAGTTTAATAATCGATTCAGATAACATGAGACTGTATGTTTTTAACGAGATTGATGACCAGGGAAAAATTGATGCAGTTTTATTGAAGACTTTTCAGTCATCTGTTATTCACTCATTTTAATTTCACATTACAATTTATTTTGAGTATTTATAGAATTCACTTCATAAAGATTGCAAAAGTTGCCTAGAGCAGTTCTTTGTTCAAAAACTAGAAGGATGGAATTAGGAAGTTGTGTTAAAGATTGCAGACCATAGTGGGACAAAATGGTAAATATGTTGGGCAATAATATTGAAAATAAAAAAAAAATATTCTTATATTTTTATTTAACAATCCAAACCAACATTTTATGTTATCCAATGAATTGTTTCTTAGTCATAAGATGAGGTGCTAGAAAACACTCTTGGTTTCCAGCCAAAGATAGAGATCTGCTTTCTTATATGATCCTTCACTCTCTTTCCCTCTCTCTCTAGTAATTATTCTGTTTTTTATCTTGTCAGGCTGGGCCCCGAGGCATGTGCAATGCTGGTCCCGGTATGTGTGTCCGTAATGGCTGTCAAAACAATGCTATTGATAACCCTGGCTGGGACAGTGAATATTGTAGCAATGAATGCGTCGTCAGCCATTGTCGGTTCGTATTTCTTTCGTTCTTTTTATTATTTTCATTAATAATATTACTCCTGTGTTATTATTATTATTATTATTATTATTATTATTACTGTTATTCTCACAAGTTGCATTTTGTCATTCATTGCATGTATATCAATAAATATCCAGTCAGTCATTTCTATTTTATCTGCTTGCGACACTTTTCATTTATATTTTTTACTCCATATGTTATTTATCTCTCCCAGCATGCAACTTTCTGCCAAACGACTTTCCTTCTTTATGATGTATGTTTTCTTTGACCATCTACAGTTTTCTTCCTTTTGAAGATTTCCTTTTTCTGCTTGGCAGTCTAGGCCATCTTTGACCACAAAGATGAAAACATTAGCAGAAATTTCTTTACGCGCCAACAAACTGTTATTGTCAAGAGATAATCTCAGAATTTACACCCAAGTTGCAAAGAGAGCCAATATCAATAAAGATATTCTTTTTTTATGTGCCATATCCTTTTGGGACATGGATGATTATGACTCTCCACAACTTCCTCTCTCTTGTTACTTGAGGTAACTTTTGACCCTTTAACCATCCTGCTTTATCTTTATTCTGCTATACTTTCACTCCTACTTGTTAAGTAGGTTAGTCACTGCTTCTCTTCTACTCTGAGTGCTAAATTTTCCAAGCCCTCTTTCCTCATGTGTTCCAGAAATTTCAACTCTCTCTTTCTGGTTGTAGTTCTTATTCTCTTCAAAACTGTCCCTAATACTCTTGGCTTTCATCGGCACACAGCTGTGTCATTTCAAATCTCTTTTTTATCTGTAAAAAGATTGTCCAACCTTCACTGACGTATAATGAACATTTTATTTGGATGGAGCTATTAGTCCAAATAAAATGCCCACAAAATAGCAAAACACAATCAATAATATCTAGTCACATTTGCTAGTCCATAAAATGCTTAGTTTATAAGAGTAATACTCTTGTAAAGTAAGCCTGTGTGACTACAGCTTACTCCAATTCATCCAAGTGTTATAGCTGCATATTTCAAGCTTCAATTGGCTGACTGTTGCCCATAATAAAAGGATATTGAATTTAGTGTAATGTTTTCATTTTTTTAAGTTTCAATGTGCAATTCATATGCCAGCAAATATGCTATTCTTTTGATCTTGTTCTGAAAATGATGTAAATAAATATAATATTAACCATATTAGTTTGTGTAATATTGATTTCCAACAAGTATTTTACTTAACTTTGTCTAAGGGATCGATTTATTTATATTTGCTAAATTTATCTTCATACAGAAAATGGTCTCAATTTATATTATTGGCTACTGATCAAGAAAAAAGGGAACAATTTTGTTGTGTATATAATAAAATATTTTATCTGACTGAGATAGTTACATAAATCCTAACAATGCCAGTAGCCAGTGTTCAAGCTCAGTTAAAGCAGGCAGAATGTCAATTATTGACTTTTAAGACAGATCCCCCACTTTTTTTTTTTGTTTTATGCAACATTATCTTCCCATTTTTTTTCTGTCATATTACACTAGGCAATTATTAAGATAAAGATATTAATCACATTACTTTGATTTCTTCAAATTAATATCCAAGATCAATGCTTACGCCCATATCATGTGGAAACACTAGTTCCTGCACAGTCACCAAATTTAAGCAATGTCAAGCCTGGTTACTACCTAGAGTGGTAACTGCTTGGGAATACGCAGGAAGTTTGGATATGTGGTGGTTTAATGGTTAATGGCTCAGAATTGTTAATCAGAGAGCCAAGTTCCAGTTTGGTTCGTTATATTCACTTACATGCAAATACCTTTGAGAAAGGTATTAATCCACATCTTCTCCCCCAGCTATGGATTAATTAGTAAGACTTGTATCTCTAAGTCATTATTATCTAAAAAAAAAAAAACAATTCTTTCAATCTAAGAATATTTTTTCTTTACTCAACCTGCAACAGGTTGATAAGCCGTAGAAAACAAATCAGACAAAAAAGCCCAAGATCAGTGGTCTCCAAAATTTCCAATCAAAGTTGTGACTGAAGGAAACAAGATCAATTTTAACAAATGAGCAAGTTTTATTTGAAGTTTTGTAATCAGTACGATATTATTCAGGACAAATGAGGAATTTGAAAACTCAATTTGGAGATCCACATCTCAGATTGCAACAAGGTGCTTTTTGAATGGAGCCAATTAACTTGTTTTATGTAATTATTTGTTGGAATTCATCTCAATTTAACATGAAAACAGTTTTTTTGAACACTTGTCAAAAATTGAGCTGTTCATTCTCAAATAATTATGAGTGATTCAAACACAAATTTCTTTACTACCTTAAGTAATCTTTCAAAACAAAAAAAAAAAAAAAAAACTAAAAACAGGCTTAAATAAAAATTCTTATAAAGTGATTATTTTGTTTATATTTCTAAGATGAGGTATTGTAACTATTTACATTGTTCAGACTGTTATCCTCATCTTCACCATTACATTCACAACGTTTTAGCCATATGAATAAAAGTGTTAGTTGATTGATCCAAAAGTGACTTGACCCAAGGAGTTGTGAGTTCAATCCCTGGCATCAGCAGAGTGAACAAAAACTTAAAGAGTTATCAAGGCGAACTAACTAAAACTGATATATCCAAAGGTATGTTACATAGAATTAGAACAATTTATCCCCATGCACTGAATAAAGTGTTTGGTTCAAAATTCTAACAAATATCACCTGAAGAAGGCTGGAGCATATAATGGCTGAAATGTTGTGAATGTGACAATAGTCTGAGATGTTTCTGAGATGAGGTATTGTAACTACAGTATTTACATTGTTTAGACTGTTGTCCTCATCTTTACTGTCAGATTCATGATGTTTTGGCCATATGGATAAAAACATTGGTTGATTGCTCCATAAAGTGATTTGACCCAAAAAGTTGGGAGTTCAATCCCTGGCATCAGTGGAGTGAACAAAACCTTGGAGAATTATCAAGGTGGATTAACTAAAACTGAGATATCTAAAGACATGGCACATGGAATTAGAACAATCTACTCACATGGATAAATAAAGGGTTCCGTTCAAAATTCTGACAAATCTATCCTGAAGAAGGTTGGATCATATGACAGCCAAAATGTTGTGAATGTGACAATAAAGATTAGGACAACAGTCAATGTAAATAGTGATAATTTTGTTAGATTCATTTAAATTCTAATCTATATAGCCATTAATTTAATTATTATCCTTAACTTGTGCCCTTTAAGGCTTTTTAAGTAAAAGTATTAGCATAGCAACTATGCCTGTCATTAGCCCAAATACAAAATGAGGCTGTCTTCAGCTGCTCTGTTCCATTAGATTGGAATCATCCAGGTGTGACAACACCAATAATGCCCACCTGTCAGTTTACTTTCATTCCCAACTGTTTGGGCATGAAACACTGCAGATGACTTGTGAATAATTCTTTTGGTTACTCTTTTCTTTGGCTGGAATTGTTATTCTGTATTTACTTTTAATGACTGCCTGGAACAATTGCTTGCTTCATAAAGAACAGACACACTACGATGCACTCATTCATTTAAAATTCTTGCATGTCTTTGTTTTTTGTTTTCTTTCAATTTGAATAAGGAAATAAATAGACATGAATAAATCGGTCATGAATTGAAATTGTTAGAAAGGGAAAAGCTCAATAAAACTGTTAAACAAAGAAATTGCTCCCAGCAAGATTTGAACTTAGAGAGACAAAGCGTACACTATCTAATGCATCCAAGCATAATCTGGTCAATGTTCAAATGTTAACCTATGTGTGAAAGACAAAGCTTTTCCATTTGTATCTGACTATAACTATATCCTTTGTTATAATTCTTTGGCTTTTTATTTAATGTCAAAAGACACTGATAATGACGTAAAATAAAAGAAAAAGCATAAAGACTTACTTACTTTTGAAAAGTATACTGTCGATGAAAAGTCTTTGAATATCATTAAAAATTAAAGAACAAAAATTATGTTGATGTTTAACATTTGACTATCGAGTTTTTCGCAGTCAAGCTGTTGAAGCTTTGTTATTACAAGTTCAAACCTTACTGAAGGTAATTTTTTTTCATTCTCCTATGAATTTGTTCTGTATATAAAGTCCTGAGAATTATTTTAAAAGGAAAAAAAGGTTGCTTTTATTATTTTTTAAATTTAATTCCTGCTTTAAAATATATTTAAACAATTTTTTTTTAAATGTTTCAATTTTTTTTTCTTTCTTTCTTTCATGATTAGTTACATAGAAAATTAATGTGTTGTTGATTTTCTATTTTGCCTCCATTTTATTATCTTTCCCTTCAACTTCAGTATTAAAGTAACTCTATACTTAACAAATGGTAGCAAGCATTGTAATTGTTATGTCTACCAAATTATAAAAAATTTGAGAAATTTCATTAATTTTATCAAGTATTTGTTTAATTTTGGTATTTTTTAAACCTTTTCAAACATAATTTCTGTCTGAATTTCTGGATGATGAGTTATCATTATTTACACTATTTACATTTGGACTATTTTCCTTATCTTTGTTATGGTTATCATGTTTCAGCCATTTTGCTCTCCAGCCTTCCTCAGGTGTATATTGATCTACAAGGAATTCTGAACTGAACCCTTTATTTAATATAGCAATAGACTGTTCCCTAGACATGGGCAGTAGAACAAGAACGGTCTACTCCTGTAGATTAAATAAAGGGTTCAGTTCAGAATTCCCTGTAGATCGATATACACCTAAGGAAGGTCGGAAGGCAGCACGGTCAAAATTTTGTGATAACAGCAACAAAGATTAGGACAACAATCTGAATATAAATAATTTTTCAAATATTTTTTAACATTTGACGTTTTTATTCACAAGTATGTTTTTTTTTTTTAATCTCTTTTGATCAAATTTTCCAAATTCAAAGTCAAGATTTTGTTTATTATCCTGTTCTCTTTCTCTATCTTTTTCTCTGTATTCATTTTTATTTTATTTTTTTTCTTTCCTTTTCTTTTTTTTTTTGTTTTAATACCTTCTCTTAGTTAAACTTCCCAATTAGATAAAATGTGAACCACATACTGGATATATTGTTTTCTCTAGTCCCTTCATTTTAATTCATTTACTTTTTATTTTAAGTTTACAATTGAAATTTAATTTTTGTTTTTTTTTTTTTCCTTTGGGGGAAAAAACTTTTCTTTTTCTTTTGTTTCTTGTTATAAAAGAAATTAAAAAAAAAAAAAGATTCCTTTCTTGTTCACTTTTGTTATCTATGTTTCTAGTTGTTATGGTCTCATGGAACATTAATTAGATTCTTGCTCCCCATCCAAATTTATACATAAAATATATACCAACCTTCTCTTGGGGCATCCAACTGTGTTAATAAGTGCAGTCCGATGCTCTTTCCCTGGCCTTCATTCATTCGTTCGTTCCTTCTTCGTTCCTTCGTTCCACCCACACTATACTTACCTTGACTGACAACTCCTTTATTTTTAGAGTCGGCTTGTGCAGTCAAACGGTCCAAATTGGACGACCCTGCTGTCTCAGTGTCAAACAACAAAGGTAAACATCACATTTTGGTGATTTCCATGCACATTCCAAGACAGTGGCGTCAGCTTGTCGGTAGACTACAGGCAGGTGCAGTTGGCTCTGCATCGGTGAAGGGCATGTCCCCCTCACCAGTTTCAAAAGCACCCATGATTATAAGCTCGGGGGATGTCAACATCATCGTGCAGCCAACTAAATTTCAAGTGCCTGCAACATGAAAAATGGAGAAAAAAAAAAAAAACAAATGAAAAGTTATATTGAAAAAAAAAAAAAAAAGAGAGAAAAAAAAAAAAAAAAGAAAATTTTCGGTTACATCATTCCCCTACATTCCCTTACCTTGTTACCTTAATGACTTGGACCTAAACAAGCTTTCTGTAATTGTGAGACAAGAAATTCTTACAACTGTAAATTATTTTTTTTTTTTTTTTTTTTCCAAACCAAAACATATATCTCTTCTACCATGCCATTGCTTGTGAGTTCTAGTTGCACCAATATCATGGCCTTTTGCCACTCTAAATTAAATTGAGTAAATATACACAATGCTTTCTACAGCTGGGGGAAGCCTGTATTATCAGTTGTTTAAAAATATTTCTGAAGCTACACAAACATGAAGATTTTTAACTGGCCAATTTAACCTTTAACACTCTGCATTATTAATATTACTTCCCTTTGCACTGCATTCTTTTTCAAGGCCTCTCAATTGCAGTGTCCTTATTCTTAATTTCACTCAAAGTTGTTTTCTGTTGCCATAGCTGGATATGGCAACACAACTATGAAATTCAAAAACACTAGCAGGATAAACTTTTTGAGTGGGTGTAGTTTTTGAAATGCCATTATGCAGATGGAAAAGTTAAGCCCCACTGAAAAGATATTCTTGTTCCGTAGGAATTAGAAGCAGCAGAAGTATTAGGCAAACTCTCTCAAAGAATCAACTCCCTCCCAAAAAAAAAAGCAAAAGAAAAGTCAGCTCTGTGAAGGCCTTTACCAGTTGCCAGGCCTGTAATTAATGTCACAAAGCATGCTTCTGCTATATGGGCTTCACTAAACATTTGCGAGCATACAGCAGATACAGAAAACCTCACAAATTCTTTTTTTTGCTAAAGTTATAATAAAATGTGAACTTGAATTTTCTTTTTTAACTTAACTCTTTATTATGATGATAATTTCATATTTGTCATCTTTAACACTGAAACTCAAATGCTACAATATTATAATAAAATAACAAATGAATAGGGGAAAAAAGTCATTTCTTATTGTTTATCTTTAAGTAGTTATACCTATCTATGTAGCTACATAGAATATAAATACATATGAATAAAGAAAAAAGGAAAATATCTCTGTACTGATGCATTTCATCCTCTGACGGACTTTTTTTCCTAAGCCAACATACATGACCACAAAAATTTTTAAATTAAAAGAAAGCAGTTAGATCAAAAGCTATTATTTAAAATGAATAAATAATTTATAAAATTAAAATGAAATAATAAATAATTACATTAATAAAACAATTCAACAATAACAATATTTACTCACTTTTGTTTATTAAGCATCACTTAGCATGATCCATAGTTTACCTTTACTTACATGAGCATTCTTAAATTTAAAAATTTTGAAAACCTAACAATATTTTTACTTTTATCTATAAATATTTGTTGCAAAATAAAATCTCTACATTTGTCTTGATAAAGTCCATCAGAGAACAAAATGCATCGATGAAGAAACGTTTTCCTTTTGTCTTAATTTATATTCTTTTTTTTACAGATATATCAGAATCTCTACACATAGATATATATGTAGATAGAAAAGAACATTTTTCCATCTCTTGTTGATAATTGGGATAAGAGCCAATATCATTGCAAGATTTTTTTGAATTTGTTCTTTTTGTAATTTATTCTGGTTTCACAATTTCGACTGATCTGTCCTACAGCCTTCTTCAGGCATCGATTTCTTTTTTCTGTTAATACAAAGCAGAATGTTGAAAATGTCCAAATCAAGATCAGTTTATTCTCTTTTTCAACATGTGCAGTACACAGTCTATTGTAATTTATATGCAAGGATTATTTCATCTCTTTACAAAACGGAACTTTTTTCTTTTGTCTTAATTTGCCTATCTATAAGAATATTAAGGTGTAGCAAAAAATTCCAAAGTAGGTAGAACCCTGACTGTGTATATTTTAAACAGAGTTTAAGATGGGGTGGAATTAACTTTAAAAAAAAGAGTCAAACCATGATAGTTTTAAACAGGGTAGAACCTGGGTAGGTGTAAGCTTTAAAGTGGGTAGAACCCTAAGTGTTTAAGTTTTCTTTAATTTCTTGACATTTTACTAATTACATAATGAGGCAATTTTTTTTTAATTGATAATTCTTTATAAATAACCCACCAATGACATTACTCATTGATAGTATCAAGTTTAACATTTCTCTAGATGAGAAACAGGTGGAAAAGTTTGAATCTTTATTGACAAATAACAAGATTTGTACAAGGATTAGAACTTGGATAAAACCTTTGCGCTGGAAAGAGATGATCCATTGAAACATTGCAATGAAAGCAACCAAATGAGGATGTCAGTTTCTGAGCAAAGTTGTACTCTAGTCTCAACACATTGCAAAGCTTGCTTGCTTTCCAAGGCTTCTTATTGGACTTGAATGAGAGAAAGTAAAGGAAAAAAGATGAAAAGAATGTTACTCACCCCCTCCCAATTACCCCCTCACCCTTCCTTTAGTTCTTTTCTATTTCTTTCATCTGTCTCTGTCAGAGATTGTTTTTCTTCATGCAAATTTGGTGGGAAAAAGGCCAACTCTTTGAAATTGGTGCCTGTGTTAGAATCATTGTTACTGATGGAGAAATTGTTCTAGATTTGTTTGGTTTCTAAGTTTGGAGTGTTAGATTTTTTTTCTTTTGTTTTTTTTTTTTTTTTTTAATGTGTTGTTTAGTGTGCAAATAATCAGATTGACATTTTCAGTTATAAATATTTGGCTGTTGGTGATAAATGTTGAACAAGTAATTAATTTTTTAATAAAAAGGCTTAATGAAAAACAAAGTTTTATTTGTATTTCTTGTGTGATTTTCATTAAGGGTGAGTCAAAAGTTATGATATCAAGTTGAAATATTTTACCCAAATTCCAAATAATTTCTGGAAAAAAAAACTAAAAATATTGTTGTCTATAAATCCTCATCCAACAATAAAAAAAATTCTAACAGGTTGTGCAATGTGTGTATGCATGCATGCATGTATGTATGTGTGTGTATATATATATATATATATATATATATATATATATATATATATATAGTATGAAAACCATATGAAATTGAAAGCATGCAGTGTAGATTCATAGTGACTATATCTATGAACACTTTATCACCAATTTTGGGCATTCTTCCCTTATAAAAATACCAATTCTAAAATATATAATATATTATAATTACAATATATTTTATATATAAATATATATATATATATATATATATATAAAATATATAATAATATTCTAATATATATATATATATATATATATATATATAAAATATGTAATAATATTCTATATATATATATATATATATATATATATATATATATATATATAAAATATATATATATATTATAAAAAATATATATATATATATATATATATATATACACACACACGTTGTTTCAAAGAAATGTTTCTGTATACTTGGAAAATTGTTGGCTTTGCTTGTTTTTTTAAATGCCAAAACAAAAAGCATTTCTTTTTAATCAATATGTGTGAGTTTACATGTAGATAAAACATGATACATACACTTCTGTATAATAAAGTCTGTGTAAAATTACACACACATTAAGTAATGTCGACACCTGAATCAAACTAACAAAGCAAATAAGGAATACTTAATATCATATATACCAGCTATTATCTTCATCTTCATCAGCAGCAGCCAATTGTGATTGATTTTTTTTTTTTTTGTTTGTGGGAGTGGAATATTGAAAGTTTGAACTTGCTGACTTTTTTTTTTTATTCTATCTTCAGCTTTTGTTTATTTAATTTCTTTCTTTCTTTCTTTCAGTCTTTCTTTCTTGTTTTTTCTTTCTTGTTTTTTCTTTGCTCAATCTGTTTGATTTGAATGTTAGTGTGGAAATTTGGGCAATGTGTAGAACGTGATGATTTTTTTTTTCTTTACCACACCCAACACCCACCCTCATTTCTGGGACTTGAAATTTAAATGTATATTTTTTTAATTTACTTTTTTTTTTAAGTTCTGAGATGATTTTTGTGATAATGTGATACCCTGGCAATGATTGGATTTATTTTTAAGTTTGGTTGTGAATTGGAGCAGTTTTTTTTTATTGTTTTTGTTTTTATTTCTTTTTTGGCTTATTTATTTATTTTTCTTTATAATTGTTTCACTTTGTCTCTCTCTCTCTCTCTGTCTGTTCTTTATTAGGCCTGTTTCTCTCTCTCTCTCACTCCCTGTTGCCCTTCCAATACCCCCATCTCCTCTATCTTTATCTATTTTTTCTATTTTTTTTTTTATTATTTTTTTATAATCTACCCTTAAATATGCAACCTGCCTGTAAAGCTGCGACACCGTCCAGGAATGTCCATTCATTGCTGTCTTTTTTTATATATATATATATATATATATATATATATATATATATATATACTTTGTCTATTTTAATCTGCTGAATTGTATCTGAACAATATCCAAATGACTCTTAAGCTTTTAGTATTGCACAGTACTGACCTTTGTACCATACAATACTGACCTTTTTTATGATGGAGATGAATCACAGGGTTAGTGATGTTGCAGTTTTGGGCATTTTCTGTTTAAAATAACCAAATTAAAAAAAAAAAAAAAAGATTTTCAAACATTAGGTGTTCTTACTGATATACACCAATTCTTTCAGATCAGTTTCTTTATACCGGGGCACTATCTTCCAGACTTTCTTTCTGAATTTCCAAGACAAAGCATTATTATGACATGCATACCTCATTTTATCACAAGTTTATGGTACCTCTATGTTGAGCAAGACAACCAGCCTCATTTTGCCAACTGTGTTGTTCTTAGAGAGGACTGTACTTCATCAGATATCACAGTCTGTCGATACAGAATCACAAAGAACTTTACCAACTAACAATGACTACATAACTTTAAGAGTTCCAAAACAGCAACAACTAATATGGATAGCACATGTAACTAGAAGAGAAAATAATAGCATAATTAAGATGTTTACTTTCCACACTACCTTAAACAAAAGGTTAGGAAAAAGGTTAGAAAGGAACGATAACAGTGGACGTGAGAAATTTATTTTCCTGAAAAACTATTTTTAGAAAAAATATTTTATAAATTTCAATCAACAGTAATTTTGTTTGGTCAATGAATGCCAAATGTTTCTTTATAAGGAAACAGCTAATTACCATAAACTTCTTTTCTTAATTGAGGTATGTACACTTTTTTTTTTTATTTTTTTTTTTTTTTTTTTATCAAGGTATAATTCTATTGCACCCTAAATAGATTATAGTATAATATAAATATACCTTTTTTATATGTGCTGGAAATAAGGACTAAAATATTTTGTACATCTTTCTTTTACTCTGGTCTTTTGGATCAAAACAGCAATTTCTCTAGGGTAGGCCTGTATTATCCATTCTTTCTTTGAGGTTTATTTCCTAGTCTCTTTGCTTTTATCATAGTATTTTGGCAATTGAAGAATCTAAAGGGCATAGCAATCAAAATGTTTGGATCAAAACAACTAAGACCAGAAAACTGGTTGAAAAACACATTAACTCAGAAATAAAGGCTAAATAGCGCAGTCCCTGAAATGTGCTAAAAAGCAAGAGACAAACTGGGCTGAAAGAATTCCTGTATAAAATTTACAATGTTTTATGCAGTCAATTTTTTGTTTTTGTTTTCAAAAGCTTTATAAGACAGAGCAACAATATTTGCTCTGCGAAAATGAAATACAAAATAATTTTAATCATTAAAGAAAAAATGTTTTGTTTTTTTTGTTTTGTTTTTTTTAGCTGATTTTTAATAAATTCATGACTGATTTTCAACATCCTAATTCAACCATGCATGAAAATATTTAAATTTAACCATGCATGCAAATATTGAGATATTTTTTCATGAATCCATAATTCAAAGTTGGAAACAGTATTTAAGAATATATTGTATTATTAAAAAAAAATTAAAGCCATTAAAATTCTTTAGAAAAACACCATTTTAGAATTGATCAATTATTTTCAATTTATTTGTATGATAAACTAAATTCTTTTAATAAGATCAAATAATTTTTAATACATATCAAGAATTACAGAGGACATGTGCTGATTAATTTTTATGATTGAAAGGTTTATTTTAAGCATTAAAATATTTCATTAAATATCTCAATTAATTTTTACTTTATAAAGTCCTACAACTTAAGTTGAATTTCAACATTTTCTTAAAGCAGCAAAACTGAGTAACATTCTCTTAGAGATGTGGTTCATCCTAAATGATTTGGGGAGTGATATAATGACTGTCATTTTATTACTTTGAAAGATAATACCTAATAATTGGTGTAAAAGGTAAACAAGTTCAGAACCTTAAACCAAAAACTTACATTTAATTTGCTTTTTAAGTTAAATGCCTTGTCATGTGGATTCATTTCAAATGCAATTGCCTGGTCATTTTTTCTTTTTGGACTGATGGTTTCCTGTTCTTTTTGTCACCCATTGTTGCTATGAAGTAGGAAATAGGTTTCAATTTAAAACCATACTTAGTTGACTAAACATGATTTACAAAAATTAATTATCAGCTCTCATTTGAAAAAAAAAAAAAACTTCAAGAATTTACTTAAACAGCCAATTTATTTGTAATAAAGTCTGTATTTTGAAAAAAGAAAATTTCAAATTTCTTAATCCCTGACTTTGAATCATTCAGATTTATTTCCATCTTAAGTTTTTCATTTATTTTTTTAACCTTTCTGTAGACCAATACTAAAAATTAAGGAAAATTTCTATGGTACCCAAATTACTAGATACAGCAGTACCCGAATTGTTGACATTATTATTTTTAAAGCCATAAAAAAACAAAGTTATTATGGTCCAATAATAGCTGAAAATTTAAGATAACTAAAATGCCTAAATTAAATGTAATAATGCCAGAAATTTATGCAAATAATCTTGTAAAAGTCTGTCTGAATCCTATATTAATTTTTTTTTTTAAATCTGACATTATTCCTTATTACTATGAATGTTATTATTAGTGGGTGCATATGTTTGAACTGATATCCTTTTTCTTAAGTGAAATTAATATCAACCGGCCTAGATCAAGAAGTCCTATTAAAGAAAAACGTATCTCCTGACAACTTGTTTTCCCTTTTTCCATTAGGGAAACCATTCCTTTCACCAAAGTATGCCCTTACTGATTAAGCCACTGGAGATCTTCATGATAAGGCAAAACTCATTTATCTCCACCTCAACTAAATAAAGTTGTTTCCCTGGTGGGAAAAGTGAATCAAGGTTTGTTTCTTGTTGGAGGCACAATCTTTCTTTAGTCAAACTTCTTGATCTAGGCCAGTTGAGATTAATTTCACTATTTAAGAAAAAAAACAAAACAAAAAAAAAACAGGAATATTGATTCAAACATATGTAGCTACTAAAAATAATGTTAATAATAAACTTTACACTATAAGAAAGTACATGTTTTAATACAAAGAAATTAAGTAAATAATTAAGTGTCAAACTCAGAGCTGCACAATGACTATATTTATAAAAGCAGCAGTGGACATAAATTTTCATAATACACATGAACCTCTCCCCCATGTTTAAAATCCTTAATCTGCTTAAGAGCAGATTTAAAAACCAAAATGAAATCCAGGATAAGAACTGCATTAGTTTCAGAAGTTCAAAACTTCTGTTTACAGGGAAACAAATTTGAAATGGTGTGGAGTTAGTGACATCAGCAAGACTTAACATTGTTAAAAGTATTAAAATGAACTTTCTGCAATATTGGTGTATTCAAGTATTAAATTTATCATCATCATCATTATTATTATAATTATTTCTTTTCTGCTCCTTTGTTTTTTTTTTTTTTTTTTTTTGTAATTGAATTTTGTATTAAGGGAAAGAAGATAGGATATACTAAAGCCAATGTTTCTTTACTCTTTTCCAGAGATGTTTTCACTGGATGGGTTGCCACACGACAAGCAACAAACTCATTCCCTGTCAAGTAAATTGTGGGGTGAAAAAAGGAGAAAAAATGCCGAGAAGGCTCAACAACAACATCAAGGATGTTATGTATAATGACTACGACATTAGAAAGAAAATAAATGAACAGTCAATATTATTAAGGCTCCAACTATCAACATCTCCTACCAATATTGCATCCACCAAAATTGTGTGACTCTGCTTTTGATTGGTCAGTGGGTAGTCACATGATCCACCATTTCTGCTAGAATCACTTAAGTCGACTTAAAAAGAACAGTATTTAGTGTAAATTTTAGTTTTAAAAAAAAAAAGGGTATTTTTAATTTTCTATTTTGTTAAAAACTGATATGAATATTTTTAAAAGCTTGTTAAACATAACAAATTGGATATTGTTAAATTTTTAGCATGCTTTTTGAAAAGTAAAATATATATTTAGATAATAGAGAATAAGATAAAAATTAATATGGAGGAAAAATAATTTAATTTACTCTGCTCTATTCTCAGCTATCATGAAACTGAAAAGACTTATTTAAAAAAATTCCATATGATCAATTTACTGGATTTAACAAACTAATTAAGTTTAATAACCTTACTTCCAATTTCACAGCAAAGATTTTACCAACAGATTTTTTTTTAAAGTTAAATTTGGAAAAAGAAAACCTAATCCTTGATTTAATGTTTCTTCTGATAGCTAAAAAAAATGCTATATTAATAATTTTGCTGAGATGCTACAAGTTGGTTAAAGTCTTTTGGGGCCAGTATACAAGCAGGATTTTGAAGAAGTAATACTTGTGTTGGCATTTTTTCTTTCTTTCTTTTTTTTATGAAAGTTATGTCTGAATCGGAAGGTTCAAAATAATTCTCTCAAGTAAATTTAATTCTTTGTGTAGTTCTGTTCAACTAAATTTCTATTTAATTAAAAAGAATTTTCCATTAAAATTTAATCTTGAAATTAACCTGAGGCTTCAGAATCTTTCTCAGATATTTTTTCTTTGCATATAACAGCTGTTAATTACACTTGCTAATGGTTTTCTAACTAAATGTATTTCAAAAGAAACATCAATTGCTCTTAGCAATCCAAATATGACTAATATCTTCATCTTTAGTAAAAAAATTAACTTTTTTTTTTTTTTTTTTTAACTAAAAGCATATTATAAAATGAAACAAAGTAAAGTAACTGCCCACCTGAAAACCAATGACCAATCTGCTTATTGATTCTTTTCTCACCTGCCATGAATACTTTTAGAACATTATAGAAGTTTCCAGTTAATCAAAAAACCTAATCATGAAAATATATTGTTAAAATATTTTTTTTTCTGTTTGTATTACATTTACTTGCTTGCAAGTTTTTACAGCAAGAATTTGTAATTTGCCTTTTAATCTATGATAATTGCCAAATTAATATCAAGAAACTAATTTAAAACTCTTTTAAAAAAAAAAAGAATGTTTTTATTATGATGAAGATATTAGTCAGAATATATAATGATTTAATGTTCATAGCCTAATTGCAGATTCTTTAAGTTTTTTTTTTTTTAAACAGGATAAGGATATATTAGAATAAAATGATGATTACTCCTATATGTGTGCCCCTGGGTGTAGAGCAGGAGTTAGCAAGCAACTTACACACACCATTACTGCTGTAGTGAGGTTAATCTTCACTAGATAATTCATCTTTGTGGCTTTTTGACAAACTGGTCTTAGTTTGATGTGTGCTTACATATTTAAGTGTGTATATATATATATATATATATATATATATATATATGTGTGTGTGTAAAAAAAAAAAAAAAAAAAAAACAGATATAACAAAAAAATTTTCTCTAAAAAGACAATATAAATATAGACAAAAGTAAAACTTCTTTACCAATATATTTTATCCATGATGAATATTAGGATTTTATTTTGCAACAAGTATTCATAAATAGAAGTAAAAATGTTAGCTTTGCAAAATTTTCAAATTTGATACTGAAGAATATTTAAGAGCCTTCTTAAATTTAAAAAATTTTGTAAACATAAAATTTTTACTTCTGTTTATAAATACTTGTTGCAAAATAAAATCCTTACATTTGCCTAGATAAAGTCATTCAGAGGGTGAAACTTGTCAGTAAAAAAAAAAAAAAATCTTTTTGTCTTTTTATATATTGTGTGTGTGTGTGTGTGTGTGTGTAACAATAAGAAAGATTGTGTTTTGTCAAAAAATAAAATGATTGACCCGGATACTTCTGGAAGGTAACGTTTTAAGGCAAATGTTTTTTGTAATTATAAACAGAACATTAATAATAATGAATAAGATTAAATGTTCACTTATGTTGTTCTCTACATCAATTTATCAGAATTAATCTCCAAACACAGAAACAAATTTACTATCAAATCCCCCTGACAAATGGATGTAATCTCTGTGAAACTGAGTAAGAACAAGATAAGTGAACATTTAATTTAATTTAGTACTGTGTGTGTGTGTATATGTGTGTATATATATATATATATATATATATATATATATATATATATATATATATTCTTGACTTTATCCATTATCTTTTCCAAATTGGTAATCTTCCGACAACTTGGCTGATGCAGATGTAAAAACATCCCAAATCAAAGAAAGGTTGATGGGTAAATTGAATAAACATAGAATGTCTTTCCTTTTAAAAAAAAACTTAAAAAAAGCGATTACTACCGAATTATACTAAATTTATTTATTTACTTTATATAAATATATAATTTCAGTTGTAACTAAAAATGTATCTGCAAAAAGGACAATATGAATAAAGACAAAAAGTAAACTTATCCTAGCTGACTTGTTTCATCCTCTGATAGACTTTAGGAATAAAACACAGCTAAGTTTTGTCTTTATTCTCTCTCACACACACACACACACACACACACACACACACACACATATATATATATATATATATATGCATATATTTCATTGAATAATATAGATATATTATGTCTATTTATTTTTTATAATGATATTTTCCAGTTCTCTAATCAGTATCTTGAAGATGATTTTCATCAAGGAAGACGCCAAGTAATTTTGATCTCCTCATAGATCATCCTCAGAAGTGAATTACAAATTGAAACTTATTGTAACTGTGATAAAATATGTAAAAAATATTTAAAAATCAGAATGGCACGCTTAATTTCTTCACCTTTACAATAAGTTTGTCTTTGTAATTCACTCCTGAGGATGATCTTTGAGAAGATCGAAAGTACTTGGGTGGGAAAAATCTACAATGCCTATCTTAGTGAATTTCATCTTAACATGTATAAACTGATTAGAGAACTGGAAAAGATCATTATAAAAATAAACATAATATGTCTATTATTCAATGAAACTTGTTTGAATGAGGATATGCTGATTATATATATATATATATATATAAAGAAAAGAGAACAGTAAGATATATAATCCGGTGTTCTTATAGATATTTTTATTTTTACAAAATAGTGCTCAATGTAAATTTACAGAGCATAGAGATATATATATATATATATATATATATATATATATATATATATTACAAACACTAACCTTTTCCGCTACCACAGTTTCTACCAATGAAGGCTTTCTCAGGCAATGAAAAAAACTGGCTTGAGGAAACCTTCATTTGTAGAAACTGAAGTAGCAGAAAAAAAGAGTGTTTGTAATATTTTAGATCTTGACTAGCTCTACACTTTTTTTTTCTTTTTTTTTTTTTTCTTTTTACTGTGTATTGAGCACTTTTTTAAAAATATAACTGTTTCCTGGCTGAGATAAACCATGTCTGTAAAAACAGTTTCATGGTGTGTCTGTGTGTGTATATCTATACATAATGGACACTCCCATCAGTTTTGACGTATGAGGATCTGACAGCTTAGTTGATTCAGTTATGAAATTTTGTGCGATAATCTTGTGGCATTTAAGACCTGCTAGTGATTTACAAAGGAGGTCACATATGGAGCAAGAGTGAGGATTGTGAGATGAGATCACTGTTAGATTGGCTGACCTTTTAGATCTTGCTCTTGCTTCTTGAAGATGATTCAGACAAGCATATATATATATATACACACACACACACACACACACACACATTAATGGAAAGTTCAGTTTACAGGGGAAACAGCTATACTATGATTTAAGATTTTCTTGTAAATTCAAAAGCTTTTTTTTTTTTTTTTTTTTTTTTTTTTGAAAAAAAAAAAAGGAAAAAAACACTTGCAACTTCTTCAATGTCAATACTGCTTGATTTCTCACTTTTGGAATTTAAGTCTGACTTTTCTTGGCCAACTTTTCTTACTGTCTTTTCTCCAAATATTTTAGCTGCAAAAATTTTTTTCTCTTTTTAATTATTCTCATCTCTTACTTCAAGATTTTGTTTATTTTCACTAGTGAACTTGTGGTCGACTAACAAAGTAACACCCTCTGCAAATAACTGTGTGGGCACATGTATACCAACACTCTTTCCCCACCCCCCTGTACCTCCCCTCCTGACATGCATAAAGTTGAACCCCTCTCTCGTTTGAGAATTTCACTTATGCTTTTGTCAACTTGTACTTATGGACAGTTCACACATGTCGGAAATGCAAAATGGTATGTGATGGGTAGCAACAGGCGTACACTACATTGTACACTCATTGCTATCTTTTGATGTTTTTTGTATATATTACAACAAAAAAATAAAATTAAATATAAATCCCAATGTAATCATTATTCCCTGTGTTTCTATAAATATCAATATCAGACAGAACATGAACGCACACACATATATATATACACACACACACACACATATATATATATATACACACACACACACACACACACACATGCAATGCATCCGCAGACATTCCCAGATAATTTTTCTTGCAGGCCACACTTACTTCATATATTGGTGTACATAGATCCAGCTAAGGAACAGAAAGACTAAAATACACTCACTTTGTGTACAATAAACTTACTCCTTTATTAAAAATGAACTTTATGTAAGCGTTTTTTTTTCCTTTTTTTCTTTTTTTTTTTTTTTTTTTTTTTTTTTCC